CTTGGGGCAAATCAATTGAAAAATTAACTCTTGAGAGCTCCTGCATCCTACTCCTACACCCTACTCAAGTGAGTTTATTATAAATTGTGAACTACTCGAATGTTATAGTTTCCATTATTGTGTAAGTGTTATTATTATTGACTACGTGTTTTGCATGTTTTCTTGGCCTCACGAGCATCCGCTCACCCCGTTAGATTTGTTTTCCTTAACAGGAGCTGAAATGGAAGGAATTATGAAGAAGCTTACTTGATGGCTCATTTGATTAGAATTTTGAATGCAATTGTTTAGACAACTTTTGGAAGTTGTGTATTTTGGAAAAAGTAATTGTAAGTTTGAAATTGTGATGTAAGATTGAATATTTACGTATGGAAATGACTTCGTACTTTTATTCCGATTTTTATTGTTAGTATTAGATTTTAAGTTTAACTTGAATTTGTACCGAGTCCTGGCGAGAGCTGGGCAGGCGTCCCGCGGATACCCTTCGGTTCGCCCCTGGAAGAAGTGGTGGCGTCACAGTCTAGTTTTCAACGCCGCCAACCACACTCAATTCTGAGTTAAATTGAGTAAATTATGACCAGATTTCGAAACCGACTCTGTAGGCGAAAACCCTCATTTTGGACAGATTGTAACCAATATTGATTTGGGCCTTGCTATTTGAAAGTTTTTGTGTAAATCACCTACCAAACACATCTTGGATGATTATTAGACCTTGTCTACACCAATAAACCATGTTTGAGGAATTTTCCTTGGCCCAATGCTTGAAAACGGAAAAATGGAAGTCCAAGGCAGATTTGCCTTGGAACTTCTTGGGACTTTAGCGGTTTTATTAACCGACTTTCCATGCGTATTTTTCTATGAAATTTTACAGTGGAATAGCCCTTATATGGTAGTGAAATACTACTAATTTTAGTGCCATTCCGAGTCCGTTTCGATACTCAAACAAAGTCCCAAAGTTTGTAACTTAAATCTGGAAATTGCCCAACCGTCTCAATTCACTACAAGAAATATATTTTTCAGTGACAAAAATTTATGTGACAACAAAAATCTTGTCACAGATAACATAATTCAGTGACGACATTAGGTGTCATCACAGATGAGTACAGCACAAGCATAATCAGTGACAACATTGGAAGTTGTCATTCTCAACTCGTCATGAAATAGTTGGCGCGCATCTCATTTGATGCCGCGGGAAATGATTTTATGACAACTCAAGTAAAGTCGTCACAAACGCTCTCTCTACAGTGACAACATAATTTGTTGTCATTGAAAATCTACCCGGTTCCAATTTTGTGACAACTTTTTGCATCACTGTATACTACAGTATTTTCATCAACTTTCACTAATTCTACTATGACACCATAATTTTATTTTTTAGCCCCCAATTCTTTTATATTAGCAAAAGCACCGAAGATATGACACCCTAATTTTATAATTTAGCCCCTATTCATTATGTATTAACAAAATGCAAATGATATAATAACAAACTATTTTTAGATATTTGTAATTTTTGCTAAGTTGACATAATAGACATGTCTAAGCATAAAAAATTTTTCATGAATTGTTTATTATTACTTATAACAACCCCCAAAAATCAATAACTGAAATAATTTGAAAAAGTGTAATTGAATATAATTTGTAGTCTAATGTTAGCACTGTGAAAGATTAGTATAACGTGTAATACATCATAAGTAATAATTATTTTCATATGGAATGGGTATATACGAAATTAAAATTATTCAATAAAATATCTGTCGTGCAATAAGATTGAGAGTTGTAACACATTTAACAGAATATTTGATTACATGTTTCTTTTAATTTATTATAAAAACTAAGTAATAGACAAAGAGTAGGATAAGCATGAGTAAGAAGTGCTATACTGTATATAAGCAATTCTATAGTATTTTCATCAAATTTCACTAATTCTACTATGACACCCTAATTTTATTATTTAGCCCCCAATTCTTTTATATGAGCAAAAGCACAGAAGATATGACACCCTAATTTTATAATTTAGCCCCTATTCATTACGTATTAGCAAAATGCAAATGATATAATAACAAACTAGTTTTAGATATTTGTAATTTTTGCTAAGTTGACATAATAGACATGTCTGAGCATAAAATTTTTTTCATGAATTGTTTATTATTACTTATAACAACCCCCAAAAATCAATAACTGAAATAATTTGAAAAAGTGTAATTGAATATAATTTGTAGTCTAATGTTAGCATTGTGAAAGATTAGTATAACGTGTAATACATCATAAGTAATAATTATTTTCATATGGAATGGGTATATACGAAATTAAAATTATTCAGTAAAATATCTGTCGTGCAATAAGATTGAGAGTTGTAACACATTTAACAGAATATTTGATTACATGTTTCTTTTAATTTATTATAAAAACTAAGTAATAGACAAAGAGTATGATAAGCATGAGTAAGAAGTGCTATACTGTATATAAGCAATTCTATGCATGTTAAATTTTTGAAACATATTTTATTGTGTAAGTTTTATTGTAAGGTAATTTCATAAATAATTTGTATATTGAGTTGTCCAAACCCAAAAAGATGTATATAGACACAAACAAGCACACATATATATACATGCACAAAAAAGAAACCAATATCAAATAATTTATTTGATATTTATAGATGAGATTAAGGAAAAAAAAAGAGATTAAGTATGAAAAAAGAAACCTGAAAAAAAAAATTTGACCAGGGAAAAAAAAAAGAAAAAAGATGTATGAAGCTAAAGGCGTGAATCCTGGAATCTCAAAGACGTGCTTAGATGCCAAAAAAAAAGAGCGCCAGTCTGAAATCTGAAAGAGGCGCGAGGCGGGTGGCTGAAATTTCTACAAAACGACGTCGTTTTTGGTTGTTCACAGACAAACAAAAGTCTCGCCGCTTCTCTCTTCCAACACTTGGACAAATTTCATTCTCAATCTTTCCTTCCTATGGTGAACACCGAAAAACTCTGGACCTCAAACACCTTCTGCTTCCGTAAAATGCTCCTCTAAAGCACCATTGACGAGTGCCAATCTTCAGGTCAAGCTCGCCGAAGAAGCGAAGTCAGAACACTTCCAAGCTCCCTCCTCGTTCCGCGACTTCAGCTTAGACTTTTCTCCGACCCCCTCTTCAGCTAATTGTGCGGTATGTGTTTTTTTTTTGCTTTCAAAAGCTGCTCAGCCTTCTATTGTAAAGACTAATTTATGAACTAGATTGTTAATTAGCAGTGGGGAAGGTAATACTCTTGGCCAAATCGCATCCGAAACACTTGCGATCTGGAGTATGAACAATGACAAGGGTTCATCCAAGAATTTTTTTTTTCTTTTGTGGATTTTTTCCCTGTTTTCGAGAAATTTGGACTGATTAAACCAAAAATTGCTTGCTTTATATTTTGATGGAACGTTTTTGTGATTAGGATGGTCAGAACCGGCTTTCTTTGAGGAGCTATGAAATGTGAACAGTTTTTGACAGCATTAATTTGGTTGGATGAAAGAGAAATTAAACAATTTGTCGTGCCATTTAATTGCTTCCTTAAGGGGAAGAGAACTTGACTGATTTGCCTAATTTATTTGGCTGTTTTAAATGTACTACCATGTAATTTACTCTCTGGTTCTCTCTCTCTCTCTCTCTCTCTCTCGTTCTCTCTCTCTCTCTCTCTCTCTGGTAATCAAGCATGCACTTTACTAGAATTTTGCACGTTTGGGAACTGGCCAGAAAACTGTTTGGGGGTTTCAATTGCCGTTAACATGTTGTTGTGCAATGTGTGTTTAGTCATACAATGGTTAATCTTTTGTAATAGTTAAGATTTTCATAACTGTATTCCCCCTTTGTTCTTCATTTCCTTGCCATTTTCGAACCTGCATTTTAATTTTCCCTTGTTTTTGTTAGCTCATTATCCAATGACTTCTGTCCTGCCCCCGAAAGGCTTCATTTCCTTGCCATTATCCGAGGCAATTTGGGCTTCTGAAATGTTGCATTTTCAGTTTGTATCTTGAGAAATTTCTGTGTACGGTTCTTCTTTTATTGACTTTGTTCCATAACATCGTAGAGGTATCTGGCTTTAACATCTTTTAATTTTATCTGGGAGGGACAAAATATAAAGAGGATTTAAAGGCATCTTAAAGAGGATCACCTGCTCCCAAATTAAAAATATGGGATCAAATGCTGTCACTCTTGGATATGTATAAAATCATGTGTTCTTTTGCTGTATCTATTTTCTTCATATTCTGGATTTAATTGGTGCTTTGTTATAGGTCGGGTTTGAAGATATGATGGTAAAATAAAGAATAGAGGACTAGCCATCTTATATTAGATTAAAATTTAGAAAAATAGAAATAACACATGACAGATCAAAACCTATTCTGATATGTTATCTTTAAGGATGAACTGCAGATTTCTGGATTCTTAAATGTTAATGTCCTTTTCATCCACTTCCTAATATCTGAGTTTCCCCAGATTCTGAAATTCCTCTCTCAGTACGAATTTGAAATCCCCCAGTAGTGGTGTTATTTTGAAGATCTTTTACTTACAAATTATGTCTGAAACTGTTTCATCATTTGTTTTAAATGTATATTTGAAATCTGCAAGAATTTGTCTATAAGAAATGTCATAGTCAGAAGGTAAGTTTAGATTTTTTAGTGTTTCTTTTCCTGTCAATTCATAAATTAAAAGAGAAAACTCTCAGAAAGAGAAGGTCAGAGATTTTAATACATTCTAGAATGGATTTTGGGTTTTGTCAAGAGTGAAAAAGAAATAACTTCAAATAGGACTGCAAAACCATTCAGCCTAATTGCTCTTTGGTTTTCCTTTTCTCTATATATACACTATGTAAGTCCTGTGAGTATTTTTGGTGATAAAAAAACATGGCGCATATATTGGAAGCGTTTAATCTTCACTCTCTTTTACTCATATCAGTTAGTAATTTGGTTTTTCTTTTTCTTTTAAAGAAATTAATTCTTAATATATTCAATTAGGTTACAGGTTGGGTAGTGGAATACCAAGAAAATTTAATTGGACTTGGTGTGGACGAGTCCTTAGCTCAAGTTTGTTCCGAGAGTGGCTCAATGGATCCCCTCATGAATGCATATGTAGAAAGAATGCAAGCTACCACAAGGGTAATAACTATATGATGTCTACTTGGCTTTGCTATTCCTTCATTTTGCTCCTCTAACAAATATATTCAGCACTGCAAATTTCATTTTTAACTTTGTTCTGCAGAAATGGTATTTGAATATACTTGAGGCTGACAAGGTACAAGCACCTAAGAAAACAGATGATGGAAAGCTTTATACACCAGCTGCTGTTGACTTATTTAGAATCCTTGGAGAGCAAGTACAAATAGTTCGGAAGAATAGCACTGATGTCATGTTGTATAGAATCTCTTTGGCTATAATTCAGGTGAGTTTGAGATAGTTTTGTCATTCATATCATGTCAAAAGGAGCTGTTCATTTGAGGATATAACCGAACCAATTTCACCTCAGGTACTTTACATTTATAGTATTTTTTTTGTTTGTGCTATAGTAATTACTGTGTCAATGAACATTATCTGCTTAGATCCCTTTTGAATTTGCTGCCAACTCATACAGTTAACTGGGAAAGGTCTGAATTGAAACTGCATTTTCGTTGTCACTGTGCCCATTTTGTGCCAGAATCTGTTTCTAGCAATTTTACATGTTCCAATTTATTGATATTAATTCCCACTCCACTACTTGTTTCCTAAAAGCAAATTACTAGAGTAGGTTGGATCTATGTTGCTAGATCATTTAAGCTGTCAAGAACTCTAAGATTGGAAAATTTTCTTTATTTTGCCTCATCTTTCTAGTGGACGTATTCTTTTATAGTACCTATATTGTTGATACTTCTGAACAACATGATTAGCTGGTATATCACTAAACAGTTTACACATTGTTAACACTTGTGCACAGTATGATTCTATAGTATTTTCTAGTTACAACAACATTTGAAAATTTGTTACTAGTCTCCAGCCTATCTTCTGCATGATCTGTGGTGTGCCCAAGTTCATCAGAAAATTCAATCTACATTTTCATACAGCAGAGTCGAACAAATGCTGCTACTTAATTTATATCTGGTCTTGTCCCTATCTTAATATATATTCCCTTCTCACTATGTTGTTAATTAATCATTATACCAGTTTGCCCATTCTCTCTCCTATTTTCTGCTAAATTGGTCATCTCTTCTCCTTAGGTGATGATTGATTTTCAAGCAGCTGAAAGGCAGAGATTAGAGGAACCTGCTTCTGAAATTGGTCTAGAACCTCTTTGTGCAATGGTAACTGAATTTTGTAAACTTCGTTTAGTCTAATTGATCTTCGTTTGTCGAACTCATCTAAATTTTTCTGTATCAGAATTTTTTTTTTGTGCTAAGGAAAAAGAGGCACCTGTGATTGTGTGTGTGTGTGTGTTTTTTTCTTGATATACTGTGTGGTTCACGATCATCTAGGCTCTCAATGATTTTAGGATTTTATTGTTGTTATTGTTATTGTTATTGCATATATATTTGTGAACATGCAGATATTTATTGTGTTTGTATTGTTATTCTATATTTCACAGAATATACATTCAATGTCTTATTTGCTATAATTTCACTTTATTTTTGTGTTAAGCAATTTACTTAGATTGCTATAATTTCAAATTAGAGTGACATTAGTTTTTATAATATGGTGCCTATCTAGAAGTGTAGTTCCTGTTTTAACACCAGTGCTCATTGCTTCAATTTTGGTAGCGTGTAGGTTCTAACACGATTCCCAAGAAGAAGAAGCCAGTCATTGCTGTGAAGATGGTTTTTGAATTGAAGACTACAAGGCCTATCGTGCTCATGTTTTGTTCTAGATGGGAATCGTGCTCATATTTTTGTATAGAACTTTACTACTCTCTATTGTGGATGGGAAATCACTAGTATTGTAACTGAATGGCTTATTTTGGATGGTGCATGGTTTATGACTCATTTGAGGCAACATTTATATATATATGTATTTGGGTTGATCTTCTATTGGAAATGAATGTTGGCTTTCTTTTCGTATGTTGGCTTTTTTTTTCTCCTTGCTACTCAATGAACGTTTTGTGATTGTTGGCAGCTATGTTGCGTAATTAACATTAGATTATTGCTTTTTACAAAAAAATAAATGACAATAAAAAAGTTGTCACTGCCAACAAGTTTCACTAGTGATACCAGAAAGTCGTCACTTTTTATGGATGGAAAACAATGACAACAAAAGTCGTCACTGAACGGAAGCATAATGTGACAACTCCAAGGGTTGACTATGACAAGAATTTAGCCAGCTTAGTGACAATAAAAGTCGTCACACAATGTACAACAATGAGTGACGACAAGAGTCATCACAAAAGCGAAATCGTTTGTGACGACTTTCAACAGTCGTCACATGGACCCCCTTTTGTGACATAGAACTAGTGACAACTCTGTGACAGCAGTAAAAGTCATCACTGACTTTTTTTGTGACGACTTCTGAATTTTTAGTGACGACTTTCGCCTGTCACAGAAACGCAATTTTCTTGTAGTGATTTTTCAGCAACTTTGAGCTACTATAACTTGGTGCTCAAAACTCTGATTCTTGTTCCACTTGTTTTGTTTTAAACTTTTAATGCAACTCTAATTGATTTTCAAATTTGAAAGGCTAGTTCAATTTTTGTGAATTTCACCGAATTTCCAAAGTTGGCGAAAAACCAACCCCGAAACTGTCTAGCAAGCTTTAAACAGCGACTTTGAGCCAATTTTTGAATACATTCCGTTTGGAATCATGGGAAAGTGTATTCTAGGAACTTTTAGTACTTTGGAAGAAGTTTCCAACGGTACCAAGTTTTTCAATTTTAGACTTGTAAAGGGTGAGATACGATTCTTTAAAGATCTCGTATCAAAACTGAAATTTTCAGAACTTAAGGAAATGGAGTTTTTCGAATTCTCCTTTTTCCCTCGATATCACTTGAACGTTTTATACTTGATTTCGAAGATGAAAACTTGATTTCTCTTGTACTTTAAAACCCTACTTTTGAGCCTTAATTCGCGAGTAATTTAGGCTCATTTTAGTGAAATTTTCTAGGATTGTACAAGCGTGCGATCTTCCTTGATAATTGGGGTTTATAAGTGATTGCTCACTATTAATTGCTCAAGCTCGCGTGAGGACCTTCAAGAGGATCCTACGGTAGACGCTTGAACTTCAAGTAACATTTCTCCTTGGTTGACTTGGTGAGTGTCAAGTGTGTGAAAACGTGTTAATTGCTTTTGACAATAGAACATTTTGAAAACGCTGAGTCGAGGGTGTAATTTATCGCACTCGTTCTCATTTAAATGAAGTGTACTTGAATTTCGTGATATGAAATAATTGAAGTACTTGAAGTGACTCGTTAAGTGAATTTCAGTGAAATGTTTAAGTGATTATTTATGCTATGGCTGCATAAGTCGATCGGAGTGAATCTCCTCGACTCAAGTGGTAAGTGGGGGACGCCCAAATCTCACTGGCTAACCTTGGACTCGAGCCGGCATGGGCTTGGTCGGGCTCCTTGGCGAACCATGAGAAAACAAAAGCTTGATCTATTAAGAGATCTTGTTTGGCATACTTGAGCAGTATTGCCTCAAACAAACGACAGGCGGGCCCGATACAGGGGTATATAAAGTGAAATGGGACATGATAAGTGAAGTACTACGGACTAAACCTACCCGATTGACGGAGTGTCAACTCGTGGAGGTTCGTGATCGTGCAATTGGAAAATAGCTCCTGAGAGCTTCTATATCCTTGAATTGTTTCTGTTTATTTTTCTCGCTCGAATTTTTATTTATTGCAATATTATTGCGCTACTTGTTAAATTGGGATTGTTACTTGAACAATGTGACTGCATGTGTGTTCTTGGCCTCACGAGCGTTTTGCTCGTCCTGTAGATTTGTTTTCCTTAACAGGGAAGGATCTGGAATGAATCTCAGAGAAACCCCTTTTGAATGTACTTTTGTATTAGGGTTTTTCAATGTGCTAGGTTAGACTCTTGATTATTGTATATTTTGGGATTTGATGTAACCTTTGAGAACTTGATGTAAGGATTGGATACTTGACGTATTTTGGAACTCGTGATGTAAATTTGAATGTTATTTATGGGAGTGACCTCCCTTTCTTACTTATATCATCGTGATGGCTGGTATTTCATTAAACTTGAACGGGATTTGTCTTGAGTCCTAGCGAGAGTTGGGCAGGCGTCCTGCCGATACCCTTTGGTTCGCCTTAGGGAGAAGTGGGGGCGTCACATTTTCTTTGCCGTTTGGTCAGCTGAATGGAGAAGAGAAGATGAGGGTTTTGTGTTTTGTTGGTAGGTAGATGAAGTGTATTAAGGAAGCCAAGTTAATGGTGCAAAAGTCAACTAAGAATAGTGCTCGCGCGCGCGTTTCGTATCCGATTTCTCTCGGATTTGTTTCACTTGTGCACTAAACCTCTAATGTAATTCCTATAACACTATAATTATTCACCCTTAGTAGTCTAGTATAAGTTTCTTAAATCTCCACTTAGTCATTCCGGCTCGATTTACGCGAACTTCCGATTCACGCGCGATAAAGCGGAATTTAAAAGAAATTCATGTAACGATGATGTAATTAACTAACTCTAGGGTAAATAATTATAAAAATAACTATTTTAAGAATAAAACATGAGTTCTCAAATCTCTAAGATCATTGCACTCTTGGATCAAATATTGTCTCGAAAAATGTGTACTTGTTATTCCTTACTAAACAAGGCTTTGAAAATTAAATTTGCTAACGGGACGTTTTAAAAATGTAAGTGAGACATTGTTTTGTCTAAATGGATTTAAAATGGTTGAAATAAATTATTCGGAGAAAACGGGTGAATAAATATTTTATTAAGCCATTAAAATAATATAAAAGTAAGAAAATAAAAGTCCGGGTCCTCACACCTATTGGTTAGTTGGTCGAATCGAGCCAGTAAGGGCTTGATCAAGGGGACCGGCGAACCATAGGTACTGTTTATTGTTTATTGTGTACTCCACTGGATTCGGTATACTCGAGTATTACCACCACTGTTAATGTTGGAATTTGGGTCCGGTAAGGGGTTTGAATGGTGGATGAAGATTGGAGTTAGGTGGTGCTTTACTAGACTAGTTATACTACTTTGAAAGTTGACGGAGTGTCAACTACTTCCTGGCAAGCTATGGCCGAGTTAGCTCGCAAGAGCGACTGTATTCTTATACCTGGAAATGTTGGATATCTATTCACTTTGTTATTTGAAGTGTTATTGCTCACTTTTATGAACTTTTATACTTGTCATTTTGGGATTTCAAGTTTTATATAATGGTCAACTTGTTACTTGTTTTGTGTGAAGTTTTGGAACTTCACTAAGCCTTGCCTTACCACATTAGTTTTGTATCCTTACAGGGGTTACGAGCATAGGCATGAAGTTGGGACAGGCTAGTTCTGCCTAGTTTCTTTTGACTTTTGTGTTTGTACTAGCGCTAGTGCTCGATTAGAGTTAGAAGTTCAACTAGAACCTGAATCTTTTGTTACATTTGGGTATGTATGAACATTTGAGATAAGCATGTGTATAGATGTACATTTTAAATTTGGGAACTGCTGTTTCTTTTACTCTTGAAGTTATAACTTAATCATTGAAGTTGTGTGAGTGAGTCCTGGTGAGAGTTAGACAGGCGGTCCAATTAATCCCAGGGTACGCCCTAGGGAGAGGTGGGGTCGTCACAGGAATAACTTCGAACTAGTAGGAGGAGAAATAGGGAAAGAGCTGTGGAAACATGGGACGAGCTACGTGAATTATGAGGAGATTCATACCTAACTATTACCATATAGATTTGCACCAAAAATTGCAAACGCTCACCCAATGTAGTAGGTCGGTTTAAGATTACTTCAAGGAGATGGAGATGGCAATGCTTAGAGACAATGTGCATGAAGATGAGGAGGCAACAATGGCACGTTTTCTTAATGGTTTAAAGGCTGAAATAGCTAAAGTTGTGGAACTTCAAAACTATCTAGACTTGCAAGAGTTGGTGGACAAAACTGTCAAAGTGGAACGGCGCCTCAAGTGGAGGGGTAGTTGTCACGCCCCGAGCCCGCATGTGTCAATCACGTGACATCCGCCGTATCCTCAAGTCCCACTCAAGAATAAAAGGCAACATCAAACTATACTATAATTAAAAAGTACTAAATAGTGTAACTAAAGAAAGTGCGGTACAAATCTCAAATGAAAGGTAGTCTACGAATATCCAATAAGTTCGTACATTTATTCTCTGGTTGAAACAGCGGAAAGAAAATAAATAAAACTAACAGCTAGAAGCGGCTAGGCTGCTAATTTCTAGTCACTTAGAACTAATAAAAATCATCTTTAAGGTCTTCTACGTAAATCAACTCATACTCATCAAAATCTGCAAAATGGTAAACATTGGGTTGAGCGACAAAATCGCTCACTAAGTAGTATCTACCCTTCTGTTGGACCATGCAACCAAAATTTTACATATGCATACATATGTATAGATACAAATCAATTTATTTGCACATTATTCACATCCAAAATCATTGAAAGTAACGTTATTTGTAAAACAATCACTAATAAAGAGTAACACAGCAATTGATAAATAACTTATTCATAACCGTACCTAGAAGTCATAAAGTCATAAGTCATTTCATATTAGCTCATAACCATTACATATCAGCTCATAACCATTTCATATCAATTCATAACAAATACACGCAATGTCCGGCTTCTGAGTACTCAGCCTAGAGATTAAACCCCTTTTAGGTGGGCGACCAATAGATTTTATGACTATCAATTGGTCTCATTACATACATGGGTCAATCGGCCAGACTCTATACCAAGCTACCATGACCTTATCAATCGGTCGGACTCTATACCAGACTATCATGACCATTAGGCAGGACTATAGCCCCTACCGTCTATTCCATGACTATTTTGAGCTTTATTTGATATAAATTCATTTCACATGCCATATACATAATTTTTTGATTTCATGAAAGATACCGCTCATTTCATATAAAATATTTCAAATAAGTCACATGGTCCATCTTTGCATAGTAAAAAGAACTTGCATAAATATTCAAGCAAATCATTTAATCAAATACATTTCAAGTTAATACCGCAAAATATAATAACATATCAAAATGTTTCAAATAAATCACATGGTCCATCTCTGTATAGTAAAAATAGAACTTGCATAAATATTCAAGTAAATCATTTAATCAAATACATTTCTAGTTAACACCTCAAAATATGATTGACAAAAAAATTTCACTTTGCACTTTTGAATTCTCAGAAAGGTAAGTACCACCTACCTTTGTCTGGCTACTCGAGTGGAACTACTTTAGGTCTTTCAAACTTGTGTCGTACCTATCAAATGCATAGGTTTCCTAATCAGTTGATATTTCTTATAGATGCATAAATATATCAACTCTAAGTCAGTTTAAGATTCCTGTCTAGACCATTACATGAACCATAATGGAGTTTTCCTAAATTAAGAAGTTTCTACTTTTGGAAATTTTCTATTTTTGGAAGGCTTCTATTTTGGAAAATTTTCATTTTTTGCAGTTCCCATTTCTATAAAGTTTCCTAATTTAGAAATAATTATTCATAATCAAATTTATTATCTTGACTATTGTACGTATTTATCTATGCATATATATATTTATTGTTATTTTATTATTATTCATTGTTATTGTTATTATTCTTATCATCACTATTTTATTTTATTTTCATTTATATATATTTGTTAATTAGTTACTATTATCTTTTGCTTTACTCCCATTTTTGTGCTTGTGTAGGTGTTTTTATTATTTATATCTATATGTATATATATATATATTGGTTTATTATTATAATTATTGTCTTAGTTTATTTCACTTGTATCTAGATTTTCATTTTATTTTCGTTTATATCTTTAATTTACTTCTTCTATATTTATATTGTTGCTATTATTGTTATTTTTTTATACATTTAAAAGAAATCTAAAACCTATCTTATATTGTATAACTTAATCAAATAGTGATAGATTAAAATATCTTAGATTTCTACTTAAATATTTTAGGCCTAATTAAATAAAGCCTGAATGACCAAATCCACACTTATTTTAGGTTGGGTCTTGATATTTAGTTCTTATGTTAGTCCATAAAAAGGTGGGTTGTTTATACCTAAAATTTAACTATTGGACATTCCCTAAATCCATGCTATATTTTGACCCAAGTATACTTGCCATTTTCTTTTTCCAAATTCTATCATTATTATTACGATTATTATTATTATTATTATTATTCATAATCCCCTTTTTTCTTCTTCTCTTTGGCCGACCTTTTTGGCTAGTGAAAGAGGAGCGTCTAATGACCCTCCTTTGTTTCTCTCTTGATACGAATCTTGTTGGTGAGGAGATTCGCGACCCAAGATCGCTTGTTGGATTGACGTCGGATGCAAGAAACGGTAGCAGCGGAAACCCTACGACCCCTCTAATCCCCGTGACTACGAACTTGTTGATACTATCTCAACCCGTAATCAAATGAATTAGTGAACCTCAGGCAAGTGTAAAAGGCGCCACAATTCAAGTGCGATTCTTGAATTGATAAGCCGAACAAGAACACTAGAGTATAACTCTAAGTTGTTCAAGGTTTGCTCGAAAGCTATGGAGAAAACTCTCTCAATATTTTTATCATAAAAGTGTCTCCCTCTATTGATGTAATATGGTGCCTTATATAGGCTACAAGTGAAAAACCTAATCTAGTAAGAAAATGGATTAAGGGTGTAGTGGATATGGGCCCTAATAAGGGAGGCCTAACCCCCGACGGATTGGGCCTCACGTGGCTTTCCTTCCTAGGCAGCCCACTCTAGCAAATAGTAATGAGTAAATTAGCAATCCTATCCTTGGTGATTCTACGTGCAATATGCACTTAGCCAATTATTCAATCTAATCAACTAATGTGGAAATAACTAACTATGATGCTAAAACAGAAATTAGGGTTTGGAAAAAAAACCCTAATCCTCAGGTGTCGCTTCAATGCTCATTATCGGACCGCGACCACCTTCACTTGAATGTATGAATCCTTCAAAGGACTTGTGTATGGCCTGAATAAGTACATTGAGTTGCTCACGAAGTTTCTTTGCGTGAGCCCGAGTAATGGGTCCACTTGGGGCGAGCACGTGATCCTTAGCTCCTTGATTACCCGAGCCAATGTTGGCCTGCCCACGTACCATGATGCTATCATCTCTCTTTTTCTTTTCCTTCGGTTGGCCTTTCGGCCCACCTTTCCTTCTTGATCCATGTCGCCAACAAGTTGCTAGCGACTCCTTGTTTAACCTTTCTCCTTGGGCAAGGTCGCCAACATAATAACCCCTTTTTATTTGTTGCTGCTGCAGTCAAAGCTTCAGTAACAACGCATATTCTCTCTTCTCTTTTTTTAAAACTTTCAACAGAATGAAGATTTAAATTTTATTCTACCCCATAGCTAAGATTTAACACCCTATTCTTATCAATCCAAATACAAATCTTCCTAAATTTCTCATACAAGCATATATATCTATATTTATATAACATAATAGATATCCGTAAAATCTTCAGAATAATTAATGCGACTAATAGAACCTAAAAGAGGAGTTTTCACGTGAATTTGGAACTTATAGGTCTAGGTGCCTAGTTGCTTGATTAATTGACAGCGACGCCTTCTTCTCCTCTCTACTCTCTGACAGCTCTTGTTCTAAGGGGAGGCAGACAATGAAAGGTAGAAATGATGTTATTTTTTTTTCTTTGTTGTTTTGATAAGTGTCCTAAACCCTAATAACCACCCACTAGTAGGTGGTTTAGATAAGAATTTTAATTATTTTGAACTTTTACCCTATCTTATCTCATTCATATCCCCCAATTAACCCTTTAACCTATCTAACAATTATTTTTACTTTTACTCATGGTAAATTAATTAATTGGGCAAGAATAAAAAAATTGAGCCAAAACCATGGGTTTTACAGTAGTACACATTCCAATGCTCACTGTCAAGCAGAAAATTGGAAGAATTAGCAACTTAACAAGGAGGAAAAAGAGACGGCTTCTTCCAATCCATCAAGGCCGAGGGCTCCATTTCAAGAGTCAGCTCCCAAAGTCGATTCCAAGGCTGCTCGAGATATTTCAAGGTCACGCAATTGGATGCCAAATGCTTTAGGTGTCAAGGGTTCAGGAATATTGCATCCTAATGCTCTAACCAATCGACTATGGTCATACTGCCCAGCGGAGAAGTGGTTACCGATGACAAGAAAGAGTATGAAGGGATGCCTCCACTCGTGGAAAATGATGATTCTGGAGAAGAGATATTACCTCCTAATGAAGTAGTAGGGTTGGTGACATTGAAGGCATTAACCACTCAAATAAGGGAGAATGAGGATCAACGTAGCAACCACTACAAAAAATTTGGTCTTCAGTGACAAGCCATTTTTGTCACAAAAAAATAAAAAGTCGTCACTGATAACTTTTATTGACAACTTTCTAGTTGTCACAGAGTCGTCACTGAAGGCCCGTCGGTAAAAGTATATAGTGATGACAATAAAAGTCGTCAGTGAATGGAACTGTTTTGTGACAACTGATGTTGTCAATAATTATTGTAATTTTAGTGATGACATAGTATCTTGTCAATGATGTACAAATAAATGTCGTCACTAAAAGTGATATGTAATTGTCATTGCTATAGACTAATTACTGACAACTTTTGTTGTCACTAAACACTTTTTAATTCTATGACCACAGATTGTTATTAATGAAAAATTCTGATTCAATGATAACTCTTTATCACCATGAAAATTGAAAATTTTCCTACAACAATTATATCTATAAATGGAAAAAAATGACAATGATTTATAATTAGCAAATGAATGCATCCATTGCATTACGAAATGTCAAAATATCATATAAGCATTCAAATATCATAATGAAGTTCAACAACACCCTATAGATAGTTTGATAAGTGGTATTTGGCCTAAATTTCACATATAACTCGAGGTAGCTTTACAAAACAAATCCAAGTCCCAAATTTCAACACAGAGCCGCTTCAGCAACACTCAGCTCCTCCCCTCAACACTCGGCTCCTCCCCTCAGGTAAAAGATTTGTAAGGCAGTTTCTAGCAATGGCTCCTAAAGCTGACACCACAAAAAAGCTTGATACAAAGGCTCAGGCAGCCAAGGTTGCCAAATTTGTCAAATCTGGGACAACTTTTAAAAAGAAAGCCAAGAAGATCCGGACCAAAGTTACCTTCCATCGCCCTAAGACATTGAAAAAGGATGGAAACCCGAAGTACCCATGCATCAGTGCTCCTCCTAGGAATAAGTTGGACCATTATCAGATTCTCAAATATCCTTTGACTACTGAATCTGCCATGAAAAAGATTGAAGATAACAATACCATGGTATTCATAGTTGACATCCGTGCTGATAAGAAGAAAATCAAAGATGCAGTGAAGAAGATGTACGACATACAGACCAAGAAAGTGAACACTTTGATCAGGCCTGATGGAACAAAGAAAGCATATGTTCGATTGACTCCAGACTACGATGCTTTGGATGTGGCAAACAAGATTGGAATAATATAAATGAATTTAGTCATTGTTTTGTTCCGATCAAAGATACTGTCTTTTAAGTGTGACAATTTGCTAGGCTGTTTTGTCGTGAAAAAAAAATACCAAATTTCAACACAAGGGGGAAATTTTAACATCAGACAAAATTTCACTAAACCTTGCCATTTCCCAATTTCACTATATCTCTTGTAGTTCGGTTGCTTAGCTAAAATTTGCAATCCAATAAGAACCTCAATAATTAAAGCTGGACATTCAAAATCAGCCCCAAAGAAAATCAAAATCAGCCCCAAACTAATGCACCAAATTAGCTCAAGAAATAAGTACTGCTATTAAACTTCAGCCTCAAAGGAATAATATAACAAGTTGATAAGGCAACAAGCACTACTATAACAAGTACTGATATAAGTACCGCTATGAACAATATAACCAGTTGATAAGACGATAAGCACAACACTAAAGGAAAAGCAACTTCAGTTCACTTGCTTAGCTAAAACATTCAAATAAACTAAACTAAACTAAACCAAAACAATCCAAACTAATGCACCACAGAGGATACAAGGTGTCAAGTATGATAACCAAAGTAATGTCGATCATGATATAAGGTGTCAAGTAGGAGCAATGTGTACCAACATAACTAGAATGTTTCTTTGCCATTTAAAAGCAAATAACAACTTTCTTGTTCTAGATCTCTGAAATTACTTTTGCTGTTTGTCATGGTGTATTAATTCCATAGAAAACCAGCACCCCTTAATATTGTATTCCAATCAAACTAGTGAGTTAGGCAAGTGGCGGGACATTGCAAAACATTCACAGTGAAATTTACTTCAAGAATGGCACCAAAAATGGGAACCATTCATGTGAAAAGAAAAGGTATTACCTCAAGGAATGCCTTCAAAACCGACATAAAAGTTAGTATTATTACTCCGTTAACAGAAAATCCAACCTACATCCAGCAAAAAGTTTGTGATTATACAGTATAAAATAATGCTATATGGAGAACAAACTACCATGTAAGACATGAAACTATCAATAATTAGCAATTAACTGTGGCAAGATGTACACTTCTCAATTTAGCATTATTCCAAGTAGAAGAGGCGAAGCCATATTAATTTGAAAAGGGACATATAGATAGCTGGGGGAGATGGAAAGCAGGTTTTATAGTGAATATTGGGCTAATAGATAATATGATAGCACTTAGCAGAGCTGTGGGGAGTACTCAAAAGGATAAAAATGGCTTGGAACTCTGGAGAAAGAAGAGTGACTCTGGACACGAATTGCAAGGCAGCTTTGGAACTAATACAAGGAACAGGACAGGACTCACCACTATACAATCTAATATGTCAGATCAGGAATGTTTTAAGTAGGGATCGGGAATCCTGGCTACAACATGTTTGGAGAAAGAAGTAAGTGTGCAGAATAGCTAGCTAAAAGTAGTGTCAACAAAGAATCTGGGATGCAGATTATAACAGAACTGCCACAGGAACTTAGTGAATTGCGTGGTGCAAATATTTTAGGGGCTGCGACCCTATGTTTTGTTTCTGTTTAAGAGGTTTGACCTCTCCCTTGTAAACTTAACAAAAGGAACATACTAGGCAGAGAAGTAAATGTAGTCAACACATTTGCAAGCAAAACATTTTGGCCAAAGCACCTTTGCCCTTAAAAAATAGTGAAACATGTAAAATTCAGCACAAGTAAGGCTAACAAGTATATTCTGGAGAATCATGGACTCTCAAAACATACCATAAGAAGCTGTCCATACTGTTCTAATAACATTCCTAGTTCATGAATTTTTACGAAGGAAGATCTTTTTTCACATCAAAACTAATTGATGAGTTTTGGTCCTCTTACCAAGCTCTTCCAAAGTGATACTAGTACAAGTCCTTAAGTAGACTTGAGATGCAGCCTTAGAACTCTATCACCAGATTTCTCAGTCACCAGATGCAACACCTTAGACTTGAGATGCAACCTTAGAGGTCTGTGTTCTAGAATGAATTTATAAGTTAGCAGAAAAAAAAAGTCTACAGTATCTCAACTTGCAGGACTACATCCATAGCTAATATACAGCTTTTAAGGCAAAGTACAAATGCAATGATTTGGAGCAACTTGTCCAGGTTTCTAAAAAAATAAATAAATGGAAACAAAGGAAATGAGAGTCGATTTGTGAGTGTGCACATTTACACAAAGATAGAGCACTTCCAACAGGAAAACATTAGGAAAGAGCTTGAAGTCTTGACAGACATAATTCAATCACCTCAATTCAAGAAACATTCAAGGCTGCTTTTGAACCAGACTAAGTGCATGGATCTAAACGAGTTGAATTTTGAAGTGAAAAAAATGTTGCTTTTGAAAAGCATTCAAATCTGTAGAATTTACTCTTACTACCTTAATTGTAATGCATTTAGCTCTACAAACAACACCACAATACTACCTTAATTGTAATGCATTTAGATCTACAAACAGCACCACAATGATGATTTGTAGACGCTTTAAGTAAAACTGAAAAGGGGACGCTTTGAACACACACCAGGAATTGCTGAAAAGGGGACGCTTTGCAGTTTAATGTGAAATTAAAACCAAAAAATAAAATAAACCAAGCGCTTGAAAATAGAATAACCAAGAATTTGATAAAATCTTAAAGAAACATACAATCCAAATTTTTTTAGAAAGCAAAATCCAACGGTTTCAGAGAATAATATATCAAACCCAATAAAGAACAAAATCTTCAAAATAAGAACATGCTGCTAATGTTCAATTAGACTAGTAACAATAAAGTTTATAAAAAAGGGGGGGGAGAATTTCCCTCAGTCACCACCGGCTTGGTGCAGGTGTTCTTCTTGCGCTTCTTGGCGCCACCGTCGAGGTGGAGGACGAGGTGGAGGGCTGACTCCTTCTGGATGTTGTAGTCGACTAGGGTGCGGCTGTCCTCGAGCTGCTTGCCAGTGAAGATGAGGTGCTGCTGGTTCGGGGGATGCCCTCCTTGTCCTGGGCAGAAATTTTAAAAAAAAATTAGGGCAATAAAATTTGGGGAGAAATTGAAACAATTGATCATCTAAGTAGGGTAGAAAAGGTGATTGCAAATGATGGTGATTGCTAATTAGGGTAAGAAACTTTGGGGAAACTAGACAAATGATAGAGAAGAAGAGAATTTACCCAAAAATTGAATGTTGGAAACACAAAATCGGGTCAATAAAAATTGGGGGAAATTGATTACTAAGCAAGAAGAGAGAAACTTGCCTTTTTACAGCACATGCTCTGAGGAAACATGTGAGGCCCCAGTCCGTCCGTAATCTGAGATGAGGGTTATTCGTTAATCGGTGGGGTGGTTTCGGGTTTTTATCGCCCGCCTTTTCTACATTTTCTTTTTCTGAGTAAATATAGTTTTTAGATGATTTTTCTAGTATCGGTTAGATTTTGAGAAAATAAGAACGGATTTCGGACGTGGGACCCACTAGTGCGAAAAGTTCGGGAAAATTCGGCCAATAAGATTAAATTTCGGATACTGTGAAAAATTTATCGGGTGTTAGGAGATAAGTAGAGGAGGTGATTTGATTGATGTGAGAGAGAAAAGAAAAGATAAGATTGCATTTATGAGGGTGACAAGTGTCACATAGTTATTGGATTTGACTTAAGAAATACTATTCATTTTTGTTGACTTTTTTGACTAATTGGTTAATATCTCCAAAAAATCACTCAAAATTCACCATTTCTTCTCCTTGGTGGCCGGCTCTCCCTAGCTCAATAAGGAAGAGAACTTCATCATTTTGCAAGCTTCCATTTGGTCCAATCTTTCAAAACCAAACACCTAAACTAGATTCTACTCCATAAAATCCTTTCTTCTAGTGCTAGTAAGTGTCTTA